ACAGGTCCTTTGTTAGATATATGTTTTGCAAATGTTTTCTTCCAGTCTGTGGTTTGGCTTTTAATTTTTGTAATAATGTCTTTTGAAGAGCAAACATTTTTAACTTGATGAAATCCAATTTATCAGTTTCTTTTTATAGTTTGTATTCTTGTTTTTTGTGTCATATGTAAGAAATCTTTGTCAAACCCAAGGTCACTAAAATTTTCTCCTAGAAGCTTTATAATTTTAGCCCTTATACTTAGATCTATGATCCATTATCATTAAATTTTGTATATGGTATGAGGTTAAAAGTCAAGATTTATTTCTTTTGCCTGTGGCTATCCAGTTGTTTCAGCACAGTTTGTTAAAAATATTATCCTTTCTTCATTGAGTTTCCTTTACATCTTTGTTGAAATTAATTAAAAGAGGAAGACCCTCAACGAGATGGATTGACACAGTGTCTGCAACAATGGGCTCAAGCATAACAATGATTGTGAGGATGGCGCAGGACCAGGCAGTGTTTCGTTCTGTTGTACACGGGGTTGCTATGAGTCAGAACCTACTCAACGGCACCTAACAACAACATGTGGGTTTATTTTAGGACTCTCTATTCAGTTCTTATGATCTGTATATCTGTGTTTGTTCTAAGACTATACATGCAGCAGTTTAACCTGCATATTGCCACCAGCTCTGTATTCCTAAAATCCAACTCTATCACTCAAAACTCATCAGTGCCTTCTTTAAGAAATTATCAGCTCTCTACCCTGGCACTAAAGGTTCTTGGTAGTTTGATCCTATCCTACCTTTCTGACATTAATTTCAATTATTTCCTTTTCTGAATCTTTCACCCCAGCCCCACTGATTTCCCCACCAACGTGTAAAGATGTCTTACACTTACCTTTCCTGTACTTTTACTCATAAGTTTCCTTGACATATAGAAGGCTTTTCTGGTTCTTTGTGCATCTAAATGTTACCCATCTTTCAGAATCTAGCTCAGATTTCTTCTCTTTGCCTTCATAAAAGACACCAGCTCATAATGACCTCCTCTTCCTTTGAACTTCTGTTTAAACTGTCTCTTTATCATTTGCTAGACAAAAGCCATGTTTGGAGTTATTAGATATTTGATATATTTCTGTTATTTACCCCTGTTTCTTTAAAAATAAAGAAAAGACTATAGCCTTCAGTATGGATTACACCTCAGCATTAAGAAAACAAAATTCTTCACAACTGGACCAGTAAGCAACATCATGATAAACAGAAAATATTAAAGTCACTGAGGATTTCATTTTACTTGGATCCACAATCAACGCCCATGGATGCAGCAGTCAAGAAATCAGACAGTGTATTGCATGGGGTAAATCTGCTGCAAAAGACCTCTTTAAAGTGTTGAAAAGCAAAGACGTCACTTTGAGGCCTAAGATGTGCCTGACCCAAGCCATCGTATTTTCAGTCACCTCATATGCATGTGAAAGCTGAACAGTGACTAAGAATTGATGCCTTTGAATTATGGTGTTGGCGAAGAATATTGAATATACCATGGACTGCCAGAAGAGCAAACAAATTTGTCTTGAAGGAAATACAGCCAGAATGCTCCTTAGGAGCAAGCATGGGAAGACTTTGTCTCGTGTCCTGTGGACATGTTATAAGGAGGGGCCAGTCCCTGAAGGACATCATTCTTGGTAAAATAAAGGGTCAGCGAAAAAGAGAAGACCCTTGAGGAGATGGATTGACACGGTGGCTGTAACAGTGGACTCAAACATAGCAACGATTGTGAGGATGATGCAGGACCAGGCAGTGTTTTGTTCTATTGTATATAGGGTCACTATGAGTCGGAACCAACTCATCACCTAACAACAATTTCTTTAAAATATTTTTTCTTGACTTTAAGCATTAAGCAGATTGTTAAAATTCTTGAAGGAAGATGTATTATGCTTTTATATATTCCTGATAGGGCCATGGAGCCATGGTGGCACAGTGTTTAAGCATTCAGCTGCTAACTGAAAAGGTCAGCAGTTCGAATCTACCAGCTGCTGCTTAGAAACCCTACGGGACAGTTTTATTCTGTCCCGTAGGGTTTCTTTGAGTTGGAATCTACTCAGCGGCAACGGATTTTGTTTTGGATAGGGCCATATTACACTTATACATAATAAAAATGTATAGATATTTATTGGTTTTATTTTAGCTTGGAAATGTGAATACATTGTGTGCTACTTATCTAGGCAGTGTAATGAGTTACTTCTTTCTTCAGACTGTTTAATTTTTATACTCTTATATTTAAAAAAGTTCAAGAATCTTGGTTACGTTGACCATAGAAAAAGTATATAGGATCAGTAGAAATTTATATTGCTGTATACTTGACTTGGAGCCCTGGTGGAGCAGTAGTTAAGCGTTTGGCTGCTAACCAAAAGGTTGGCAGTTCGAATCCACTAGCTGCTCCTTGGAAACCCTATGGGGCAGTTCTGCTCTGTCCTGTAGGGTCGCTGTGAGTTGGAATTGACTCAGTGGCAGTAGGTTTGGTTTTTGAATACTTGACTTATTTGAGAAAAGAAACAAAAGACTTTTTACCATTTCTTTCTCCATATTTATTTTCCTTTTATTTGAAATATCTTTAGTTATTTGAGACAGCTGATTAGAGGTTCTTTTTTTTTCAGACCTGCTTTCAAGTATCATCATGTATGCACCCTTAGTTCTTCAGAGTTGTTCTTCGAAAATCACAGAAACCTTTGACTATTTGTCATTTCTGCCTTTTCAAACTGTGCAAGGACTGCTTAAGGCAGTGCAGGTAAGTCCACTGACTCCAAGTAGTTTGCCAAAACAGGTGTAATAGTCTAATGGAAGTCTGATGCGTTTCTTTATAAATATATGTCTAAAAAATCCCATTCCCCTTGATTCTGAAACATAAAACTTTGTGTTAAAAGGGCAGGAGCACTGCGCTAGACTCTTTCCTAGTTCATTCCTCTTCATGTCGCTCTTCTCTCTCCTTTGACACATTTTCAAATCAGTAAAGTAATTGGAAGCCTCTTAGAAAACTTTTGAGAAAATAGGTTTACAAAGGCATTTACAACTAGTTTTAATCTAGTATTTCAAAGTATACTGTTGTCTTTATTATGAAGTGCAATAAATATTGAAATATGTGTAAGACAGAACCAAAGTTCCTTACATAAGCCAAGTGGTAACAGTATTTAGTAGAAATAAGCTAAGGCAAATAAACAGGCTTGTTTTGTTTTTACCCACTGATTGTTCCTCTTTCAGCCCCTTCTCAAAGTCAGTATGTCCATGAGAGACTCCCTGATACTTGTCCTTCGGAAAGCTATGTTTGCCAGGTATGTAGCAACCCTTGAAATCATAGGAACTGATGCCTTCTTATGCCAGGAGTGGAAGTTAACTCTGCCATCTCCCAGTACAACCTGTTCACAGTAGTCATGCACATTTACCTAACACATCAAACAAGGCATTGTGCTAAGTGCCTTACTGCTTTATCTCATTTAGTCCTCAGATGAACCCTATGAGGTGAGATCTATTACAAGTACTATTTACAGATAAGAAAATTTAGGCTTAGAGAAGATAAGTGACTTTCCAAAGGTCACACAGTAGAAGGTGATGGAGCTAGGATTTGAACGCAGGTCTGCATAACATCAGAGCTTTTGATCTTGAGTACTTTGCTATACCGCTCCTAGAATAACCAGCAAAATAAGGTTCCAGTGCCAAATACTCTGAAACCTGAGCTGGCAACAGTTCAGAAGGGGAAAACGCCTTAATTAAGAAGAGTATATTCAAGGAACTCAGTTTAGTGAACCCTGGAATTGTAGTCTAGTGGCTAGTAGGCTGAATAAATTACTAAGGAACCCGAGTTCTGTTTGAGAGTCAGCCAATGCCTCCTGACTTCTCTTCCTTTTTTTCTTAGTATATAATATAAACTAAGGATGATAATACCATCTCCTTAAATACTAAAAACTAGGTGCATTTAAGGATAAGATGCCCAGTTAATATCACATTGGGCATATTATAATACACTCATGGGAATCCTAAGGAACAACTCATAAGTAGCCATATGCTATTATCCCTGTTCTAGAATTGCCCACTTTTTGTTACTCCTCAGTACATGCCTATAGGCTGAAGACAATATATACATGTTTCTAGATGTTGTAGCGTCTGTAACTTGAATTAATCGTTGAGCCTCAGTGAGAAGACAGGTATGTCATTCTTCTGGATGGGGGTCCTACGTAGCACCAAGCACTGCATTCTTCTAAGAAATGGAACACAGGAGGGGAAACTCTCGAGACATAGTGAAAATCAGCAGTTTTCTTTGCTGCCTACTCAGTACTCATATTTATGTCACTAGCCCATTGTACAGTCTCTCAACACTCTTATTCTCATTCCCCACATAGACTTATCAGCAGCAGAGAAGAAAGTACAGATAGTATTATGAGGTTAAGCAGATAATGAAAAAATCAGCTGAATTCCTGTACTGGTACCTGCTTTCAAAGCTGATGCTTTATTTTGAGTATATAAATTCAACTAGGTTTGCTGTATGCGTCATTGCTTATACATATTCCTTCTTTGTATAGAACTAACTGCATTTTTCTGACCCAGAAACCTAGTCCTGTGAAATCAGCACTGTTCATTTTTATCCTGTCTTTTCCTGAGCTAGCCAGCTTGATGCCCGAAAATCTGCAGTCGCTGGGTTTTTGCTGCTCCTGAAGAACTTTAAAGTCTTAGGCAGCTTGTCGTCCTCTCAGTGCAGTCAGTCTGTTGGTGTCAGTCAGGTAAGGATGGGTCACGCTAACTTGTCCCATGTGTGTTGATGCCGGAGTTGACGATACGCAAGCGGTTTTCCTTTATTCCTGGTTTTGTTATAAAAATGATCCTAAAACTGAGGGTCTGATGATGATGATGGCAACTAATATTTTTTATAGCCTATTTGCTATATGCTAGACCTGTGGTCTCCATTAACCTGATGTGGCTATTGAACTGAACACTTACTTGACTGAAATGTGACTAGTCCAAATTGAGTTGTATCGTACATGTAAAACGCATACTGGATTTTGAAAACTTAGTATGAGATAAAAGAATGTAAAATGTCTTATTAATCATTTTTTTATATTGATTACATCTTGAAATAATAGTATTTTAGATATATTGAGTTAAATAAAATATATTTTTAAAA